TTGTGTTTGTGTCGCAAGTTCAGTGACGCAGGTAGTGACGATTCTCTCTGGCCAATCTGTGATCAGCAGAGTTTACACGTCACGTTTTGGTAACGGTACGGTTCACTTGGAACCTCAACCGAGGTGATACTAAAAAAAGTACTAGGTACCAGGTACTGTACCCAGTGGAAAACCCCCCAAAAGTGAACCGTATCGAGACGTACCGTGCCGTACCATGCAGTGGAAAAGCGCCATAAGTGTCCATGTAAACGTACCTAGTTACTCATTCAGCAGATGCTTTTATCTGTAAGAGTTACACAGCAGGAATCGGACTGACAGATAGAGTTTTACCGTTAGAAACGAGCGCAAATGTATCTCCTCCAATGTTTCGCGCAGAATATCGTAAAGTCAAACTTGGCCTTATAAATCGCAGTTCCCGTCATTAAGACAAACTCTATTAATAACATGGATGGAGAGGCTGTCAGCGGATGGGTGTTTACTAACTTTATCTAGCACGAGTACAAACGAGGACACACAATTATAGCTACTAAATGAGTTAGAATTTATAGTTTGGATTAAATTGGATGATTCATTAAACATTAATAGAATTAAACTACCACAATCCATCCGTTCTGTAGCCCATAATGCTCAGACGTCACATGCTTTTGTGCATTTCTTGTAATTTCCATGAAGGTGGTGTAGGATCTCGCAGCCGCCCAGGCAGAATCTTTCACTGGTTAAAGATCTAGTGAGAGAAAGGTTGAGACTAGTGAGGGTTGATCACTATTGTTAAAGTATAGTGTAAGTGTCCTGTTGTCATCTGGGGAAGTCTTTGTCTCTTGTGTCTCGAGCGTTTGTCATGATGACTGTGTTAAAGGGGTCATATGATGCGATTTCAATTTTTCCTTTCTCTCTACAGCGTTTGTCACATTGTCACATGTGGTTGCCGCAAGCCCTCCGAACACTCACTCAAGACCACCGTGTGTGATGCTGTGTTTCGTTGTGAAAGCGAAACTACTTTGTTTGGTCTTCCTGACCCCTTTAAACGTTCACTGTGGTTTCTGCAGACACATTGTCTCATCTCATCTCCCACCACACAGGCTAAAAGTGACAATAAACTTTGTCTTTCTCACACACACTCAAACCCACAGAGATTTCAGTGCCCACACACACTCCTCGAACTGCGTTGTCTCTACTGGAACTGTTTCTTATTTCATTTCTTCGGACAGGAGCTGAAAGAAGCTTTGTGAATAATTAAATAATTGATTTATTTAACAATTTATTTCCCACGGGCCGGACACGTCTGTATATAAGCACATACAGCGTTCGTGATGGGAAATGGCTCTCTGAAACGCGAACAGGAAGTGGTTTTACTGCGGAGCAGAGTTTAAGCTGCAGTTGGAGATGAAACTTAAAACCCCTGTCAGAACGGGTCACTTGTTTCTCTCACACAAACACATGTTGTGTATGTATGGTGAGTTCATGTCATAGTCTCGCCAGCTCCATGAGCAGCAAATATTACGGTACATGCGTTTAATTCAGTCATCTTGACCTACACTGCATGAGTGTTTCAACTAATGGTGCTTTTACATCGGAGTCAAGGCAGTTTGATGTAAAGACAGTTTGTTCATTAAATGTCAGTTTTTCACATTACTGACATTTAGTTAAAACCAAATCTGGACTCAAAAGTATCATAGACACTAAATGTCCAGATACTGCTGTAATAGAGTAAAGATTGATCATTGCATCAGTATCACAGTTCAAAATCCGGTTGCATGAAAGCCCTTAAGTAATTTGACCTATGGCTATCCCTGATGGGGAAAAAATCCATGAGGCAAGGGATTTCTTTAAGAGCATTGCAACAAACGTCTTAACTCTCACCCTTATCAAGTGTTTCACGGTAGTTTCTGGCAACATACGGCAATGGGTGCCTACGGTTGCTATAGTTACTACATCTAACAATAAACAGAACTTAACAAACCACAAATCTCACTTTAGATACAACCACAGTTGTACTAATATATTTGCGTTATGGAGAATACCAAGATCACTGAAAACAAAAAACGTAAACCAAACCTTGTCTTGGTTGGCTACTTCCTTCTCTCAGTTAACATAAAATCAGCAAATAAAATAAAGTTTTTTGGGTGTTAGTATCAATATGTTAGTCTTAAAGGGGTCATATGATGCGATTTCAATTTTTCCTTTCTCTTTGGAGTGTTACAAGCTCTTGGTGCATAAAGAAGATCACACTATAGACGCTGAAACTGCGGCTGAGATCGGTCACTTGTTCACATTGTAGTATTTCATGTACAGTGAATGGCACGTAGTGCACAATGTAGGTGATAGGGAACGATTCAGATAGTGTAAATATGCTTTCGATTGGGGCAAATGAGGTCTGGTTTCACGATGTGTCACGCGAACCGTGGCAGCGCTCAGTCTGACTTTGGCCCCGGTCCAGAGACGCGATCGCACGGAGAGGATCATATGCGCGAGTCGGCATATATTAAACACTTTTAAAATGACTTAAGGGAGCTGTTTTGGCCCCTTAAATTTATTAAGGTGAAATGGTTACTAAGGAATTTGTAGCAACGCTTAAGGGAGAATAATTAATGTCAGGCTTAAGGTTCCTTAAGTTGACCTTAGGTTTTTTCTTGCAACCCAAGTTTCACTAAGGGTACCCTTAACCTTATAACTAAGGGATTTCTTAGCTTAAGGGCTTTCATGCAACCGGGCACTGTATGTTACAGCTATTATGACAACAGCAGGACGTGACGACTTTGACTCTGGTGAATATGCCTCTTATTCTTATATATCTCATTTGTTTTTAATAATGCGCTGACACGAAAATGCATCAGTAAATGCATCATTTGTGTGACTGAAATCCAAAGTGATCTCATTGTGAATCTCATCACACACAGCAAGTGTGTGCAAAGCCTCATGCACGCTTTTCACCATCATTGTTTCACATACATGCTGCTTTTTGTCAACACTTCTGTAAACATGTGCATGTCTATTCACCCGGAGGGGGGCAGTCCTGGTTCTACTAGGGTGCTATAGGGTGCTAAGCACCCTCAAATGAAAGCAAGAGCACCCTCAGTTGAGGCTGCAAAAGTAGGATATTGGCGAGACAGATCAGGCAAAGCTCCAATGCATATTTGTGTTTGCGCTCAGGAGAGCATCCAAGGATTCTATTTACACTGTGTTTTTACTATTTACATATTAAACTGCACAAAATAAAAATATTGAATACCAGAAATACAACATATATAGATCTAATACATTATATTACAGAAAATCCACTCATTCATATTAAATGGCTATGATACCACTTTGTGACCTTTAAAGGGGTCATATGATGCTGCTAAAAATAACATTATTTTGTGTATTTGATGTAATGATGGCCACTGAAAGTTGCTCATCAAGCAACAGTTAGTCCACAGCTGGTTCAGACAAGGTCAAAGGTACCGTGGTATCCCAGATATGAAACGCCTTCACTCTTCTGATGGCTCTCTCAACAAGAATTGGAAGACGAGCTATGGCTTGTGTTCGCTCTGCATTTTTGTTTCCTGAACTGCGCTGCTGTTTTAAAAGGTGTTATGATGAGTCTGGCCCCACGTTCTGCCAGCATCTTCTCAATGGTCAGCCATGCAAGCATCACCTGGCTCCTGCAAGTCAAGAAACCCTGATTGTTTCATCAACACTTGATCAGAGATGGAACCTGTGTACAAGCTGGACACAAAGGTAACTGCTCCACATGGAGCAATACCGATCAGCTCCTTGAAGGTATGGCATTTTTATATGACTGGAGTGTGAGTAAAGATGGATTCTGGCACCTTATTTCTATGCAGTCAGTGATGACTCTAACCTCTGGACAAAACTGCCTAAACTTCTCAGGCATGGTGGAATTTACTTGCTGTCTGCTCATCCATATGGGCAAAGATCCAAGGATGAGTCAGAGATAATTAGTCCAAATTCACTGTGCAGTGATACAACCTGAAATTACTTTACCATCAAAACATAGCATATGTATAAAATATGTATATTTATAAATAATAATAATTTGTGTCTAAATGGATTAAAATGAAATTAAGACTTGCAAGAGGACTTAAATGAAGTAATAATAATCATAATATTTTAATAATAATATATGCAATAAAGCTTATGGGGAAATGTGCTTCATACTTAATGTTTTTTTTGTTGTTGTTGTTGTAATGCATAAACATACCTGGAAGAGGAGTGACTGCAAGTCTTGGCCTGCTCCAGATGTTACCTCAGGAACGATGTTGTCATCTTGAATGTCATCGGAGGAAAGGACAGGACAGGTGTTAAATCCGTAATGAGCTCTAACCGGTTCGTAAACAGACTCTCGTGAAGTTTCTCTCCAGTTCCAAATAAATCAGGACGAAAGAGTCCCTTTTCTGAGACACTTGCGACTGGTGCCGGCACTGTAATCAGAGTCAGTAAAGTGCTGGCGTTGCACAGAATTCTGTGACCCTAGTAGGCTCTGTAGTGAGGTGGGTTTAGGAGTAGTTCACAGAATACAAACAAATGTGCTACATTTGAGGACCATAAAAGTCAGACCTTTTACATGTTGAATAGCATGCACCCACTTCTTTCTTTCATGTTCATTGCTTGGAAATGCATGAAAACTCAAATACGGTTGCCGTTGCTTATTATTAGAGCAATGAGGGATGCTACATTGTCACCTCTACGTTGATTCAGCCATTGTTGTTTACACTGGAAGGTCTTCCATATTCTGAAACCCTGAAGCGTGAAAAAGGCCTATGTCGTTTCAACCAATAAGAAAACAGCGTGATGATGTCAAGATGCAGAAGTGGTGAAGCAAGCAATATATTGAGTTTTCGGCAGTCAGTGAAACTCATCGTGCACAGCCTAGAGTGGTTTATTGCTGTTAGAACAGAAATCAGTATGACGAACAGTTCAATACTGAAACTGCTCTGTGGAAAACGGTCTTACAGGATTGCCCCTAAAAAACAGTGTTGAAACCAGAGGGTCAAAAACAGGGTAGAAAATGGCCATTTATTTCTAAATTATGTTTAATGTAAAAATCTTACATTAGAAGTGAACAATTTATGATAAAAAAAAAACTAATGCCCTGGGAAAACTTCACTTCATCTCCCTCCCACTCAACTTCACAACCGTGTCTCCACTGAAGAACATGAAGATCTGGACAGGAAGCAAAATGACACTTACTCAAACAACACATAAAACTCTACATAAAAGACAAACAAATACCAGAGGTGGGACAAGCCTGTGCAAAACATAAATGAAGCAAGCAAATTGTGTGTGTGTGTGTGTGTGTGTGTTCAATGACACAGCAATTTAATAAAGAGGGTTTTTTTCCCCAAAACACTTTTATACCTTTCTTATATAATGATTCTATTAGCTTAAGAGTTGTACCACCTGCGAAGGACCAACTAGTAAAACTATTCTCTCTCTGCAAAAAAAAAAACAAAAAAAAAACACTGAACATAAAACCGACCTAGCAGCACAAGCTGTCAAAACTGGCCAAACTGTAAAATTTTGTAGATTAAATTGAACAATATTAGACAACTGTTTAATGCTCCTCACCTCATCTACTAATTGCTTTGTAACACACAGTATTCTTAGTATTCAATAGCAAATCTGACTTGATGAGCCAATCCTGAACATTGATCATTGCTGAGGTCAAAGTAAAGGAAAGTTTGCACATCATCCAGATACATCTGAATATTTCATTGTCAACACAGTGTCAAATGCCTTCATTAGATCTATAAAGACAGCTCCAGCACAGGTACTCTTATCCAGTAAGTATATAACTTTTTCAACTAAACACAACTGGCTGATTCTGTTGAATAATTAGTATGAAATCCAAACTGAATTGGATGCAAAGAAGTATAGCCATTATTTAGATGTTTAGTTAGAAGCTTAGCTACCCTTTTTGTACAACCTTAGAAATTACAACCTTAATTTCTACAACCTCAGATATTATTGGCACAATACTAATAGGCCTGTAATTACTCAAAATTCGATTTTTATATCAGATGTATACCAGATGTATAAATTGGGGTCACGAAGACACTTCCAAGATAAAGGAACAACTGCTTGCCTAAAGGATAGATTGAACATATGCAGTTTAAACTGCATATTGAATGTTCCTCACCTGATTCATTGTGTCTCATGCGTTTCATCAGAATATCAACATTCACATTAAACCACTGTTCTTTGCTCTTTCTGGACTGGGTGCCTTTTTCCCAGTAATCCTCCTGCATTTTCTCTTTCATCCACTGCTGTTTGGGAATCTTTCTCTGTCCATCACTATTGTAATAGTCAATCTGTCTGCCATCCAGCAGACCCATAGCAGTCAACCTCACTATTGTAAGAGTCGATCTGTCTGTCATCTAGCAGACCCATAGCAGTGAACTGATAGATGCCCGGCTGATTGACAGGTTTGGACAAAGCCGTGTAAATGTAATACAGCGAGTGTTTCTCTGCAATGAGGAGAAATAAATTATTCATTAAATAACTTTCGAAGCTCATTAAACACAGTCCAAAAACATTACAGTAACAGAAGGAAACAAATACAATGAATTGTAATGATAATCCCAAAATCCCACAGCAATCCTGATGGGACCAAAGAAGACTGGAAAACTTAATTTGATTTCAGTCCAAGAAAAGAATCCTACAACCCTGTTTATGTACTTCTACTTTTGATTTGAAAACAGAATTGGATGATGAGGTTAAACTTCCATGCTGGTTTATCTTTATTGGTAATCCACTACACTGATCAGCCACAACATTAAAACCGCTGACAGCTGAAGTGAATAGCATTGATTATATCATTACAGTGGTACCCGTCGAGGGGTGGGATGTATTAGGCAGTAAGTGAAATGTCATTTCTTGAATTTCATGTGTTGGTAGCAGTAAAAATGGGCGAGCTAAAAGATCTGAGTGACTTTGACAAGGGCCAGATAGTGATGGCTAGACGACTGGCTCAGAGCATCTCTAAAATCTTGTGGGCTGTTCCCGGTATGCAGTGGTTAGTACCTACCAAAAGTGATGCAAGAGGTAAACGGGAGTCAGGGTCATGAGCATGTACCATTGACACGTCCTACCTAAAGACTGTTGCAGACCACTTACAGCTCTTCATAGCAGTGGTGTTCCCTGATGGCAGTGGCCTCTTTCAGCAGGATAATGCACACTGCAGGAATTATTCAGGAATGCTTTGAAAGGTGTTGCCTTGGCCTCCAAATTCCCCATATCTCAATCCCACTGAGCACCTATGGGACGTGCTTGACCAACAAATCTGATCCATGGAGGCCCCACCTCACCATTTGCAGGACTTAAAGGATCTGCTACTAATGTTTTGGTGTCTTGGAAACATGGGCATCGGAAGCAAAATAAATGTGGGTGGGTCCTCCCCCAGAAAAAAATTTACTGGAATATATGCCATTTTCTGTAGTGTGGTGCCTTTTAATTAACAATGCCTATTTACACAAAGTGCAAATAGGCCGCCTGCTTGGCAGTGGCTATTTACTTCACCTCTGCCCTGTACCAGCCAGTATCCATCCAGTCAACACGCTTCAGGTAAGTATAATCCATTTATTTTCATTTAGAGTTTCCACTCTCACAAAGCAACCTACCGCCATGCGGTTGGACAATTGTTTGTATTAACTGACAGGCATCTTAGGCTGACTACTACATCCCTTTAAGCAGGACCCTACAGGTATTATTTAGGTGCAGTGACCGGTATGCAACACTAGAGGTAGGTATTCAGCTCAAGGACAAAAATGTATATGGCAATCACAATCTCAATAAATTGTACATATTCTACTCAATTCAAAAAGACAATTAAGGCAAAATTAAGATGGCTTTAACACGCCCACTAACGTGACAACATTACAAATGACGGCTGCTGAGCAACATTTCCAGTGGTGTAAGTGGTAACGCGGGTCGCGTAGTGTTTTTGATGCTAGCGAACCGAGTTCGGGTCCGCCTTTTGCCGAAATCATTTTTCTCCCTTTTCACATCTCATATCACATAGGAAAGGCTTTTGTTTTCAATAAAAATCAAAATCAAGGAAATAATCGAAAAGTTGAAATAAAGTATCAGGTAGGGAACGGTGTATCTGAGCAGCAGATGCTGATGCTTTGTTTACTTTGCTGTGTCGCGGGAGTGCAGCAGCCGCGAGTAGTGAAAACACGGAATGGAGTTTAATTTATATGGACTCTGAATGAGCCGAGTGGAATGGATTTGAGCAAGCAGCAGCGTGGAATTCAAGGCGGCAGCTAAATGGAGTTTAATTTATTAAGGCATTCGTCAAGTGGAATGGATTTTACTGAGGGCGCTCTGAAAAGTACACATATTCGCTGAATTAGAGACGGTAAAAGTGGGTGGGTCCAATATAATTTTTCTTCAAAAGTGGGTGGGTCCTGCCCCACCCTCATTCCGACGACCATGCTTGGAAACCAAAGGACAAGTTGAGAGGTTTTGTGGAGTCAGTGCCTCTATGCATCGGGGGAGTGACATGATATTAAGCAGGTGGTTTTAATGTTGTGGCTGATCAGTGTATTATACGTCATACGTGATGCACACAAGCACAGCAGCACATGACCTTCTGTTTGAGCTCCTCTTGTAAGAAGCCCTGAATCTAAATGAGATTTATCCTGTGTAGAAACAGAAACACACTGATATTCCATTTAAAATGGAGTTACCAGTTTGAATGACTTTCTCCGGAGAGCCAGTCACACAGCTGTCTGATGTTTCTCCAGCTCTCTCTCGTCCTGTTGGAGAAACAGTGAAATGTCACATTGATGTGGTTTGAATCTACTTGAAATTTGCAAAAACAAAAACATACCAGCAGATGCTTCAGCGTTCAATGATCCAGTAGCTTGTCCTGGAAAACCATGATAATATCAAGCGTAGTACTATTCTCAGACATAATATTTAATCTCAATGTGTCAGGTTACATGATATTTCATACAGATGAGTAAAGATGGAAAACTATCTGAATATTCTGAATGATATCAGAGTAAGTCATTACCATGCTTGTGCATTAATGACTGAATTAATGCTTTCAGTTTACCTACCCAGTTTTATGATAATTGATTTGAAGGTTCTGTGGGACACAAAACAATTATATTCTGCTTTTTCATCTTCATTGATCTCCACACTCTTCCTCAGCTGGAAGGTTTCATCATGGTTTGGTCTGATTCCTGTGGATTCAACCTCATCTTCAGGCAGAGATGTGCAATATTTCCTAATGGTCATCGTCGCGTCTTTGGCGTAGAAACCGGTGGCCAGGCAGGTGAGTTTCAGCTTGGTTTCACTGGATTTCCTTGCAAACATGTGAACATCTGGAGGAGCTGAAAACACAGGAGTTTGTTTATCAATCAGATAAATGACAAATACTAATACTGTACATTTACTCACAGGCTTTTCTGAGCTCCTCATTTCCATATTCTCTGAATTTGTTGAGCCAGTCCACACACTCTATCTCCAGGTAGCCTTTGGTGTATTGGTTTAGGATCGGCACGCTTTCCCATTTTCTCTTGGTTGGTACAGCTGCGTCAACTGCGGCGACCCACTGAGACTCTTCAATATCAAAAGACAGAAGGTTTTCTCCATCATAGCCGTACTCACTAATGCCTTTGGAAAACTTCACTTCATCTCCCTCCCGCTCAACTTCACAACCGTGTCTCCACTGAAGAACATGAAGATCTGAAATGGACACAAAATGTCTGTGAGATGAAAATATAAATGGATTGATCATGTGTATATGCAGGTTACACTGTGTGAATGTTCCTCACCTGATTCATTGTGTCTCATGCGTTTCATCAGAATATCAACATTCACATTAAACCACTGTTCTTTGCTCTTTCTGGACTGGGTGCCTTTTTCCCAGTAATCCTCCTGCATTTTCTCTTTCATCCACTGCTGTTTGGGAATCTTCCTCTGTTCCTCACTATTGTAAGAGTCGATCTGTCTGTCATCTAGCAGACCCATAGCAGTGAACTGATAGATGCCCGGCTGATTGACAGGTTTGGACAAAGCCGTGTAAATGTAATACAGCGAGTGTTTCTCTGCAGTAAAGAGCAATAAAATGTGAATTAAACATCTATTCACTGGTTTGTGATTAAAGTGAATGAGAAAGCAGGTAAACAGTCTATTATCATAATTCATGCATCTGTAATTCTCTGAGAGACATTGTAGCCTAGTCAACATTCCATATCTGAACCGACGCAATATTACTTAAAAAACACATATTAAAAACACATATTTCTGCTTATCCGATAGGATCTTAGTCTTTGTTAAATTAATTTGATGCCCCTAAAACAGTCCTGTTTAATCTGTAAACCTCTAATGCTGATCAATCACATAACGGTGTTGGCAAATGGCCGCTGCCGTGTTGATCGAAATTTATTAGTTGATATTTATAGATTTTTAGTTGACAACTCGTATTACTTTTATATTGTATAGGTCTATACGATGTTAGCATGCATTTCTCATCACATTTCATTTCTGTCGTTACAAAGACGTTTCAAATCACGACGCGTACTCGTTACTTTCACTTTCATTCTCTGATAAACGCAGAAACTTTGAATCGTTTACCTGCTCGCAGTGAAGGCAAAGTCCCATAAAGAAGAAAAACACACAGCAGAGCAAAGATCTTCGTTGTGACACTTGCTCGCATATTGAAACGTCTTTATGCGTGAATTTAGCCTAACGCAAAACAGCAGAATTCGAGCTGCAGAAAATAGCGGATGTTTTAACCAATAAGACAATAACACGATAATGCCATCATTGAAATTTGATCTGCGTCTGGGCAGAAAGTGGTGAAGCAACACAAAAAACTGGTTTATTTTTACAGTGATGGACAGTTCAGTGTTCGTAAGGACGTTTGTCAATGATATATTCACAATGAACAATTCTTCCACAAAGATATAGTTGGTTAGATGATGGTTTTATTTGCTGTTCTCAAAATGTTTACAAACAGAGTTAGTAATTCAATCATTCAGATAATTAAATATTAGCAAATATTAATTCAGCTTGAATGTCTGTACCTTCCATGATTCTGACAGAGGAAAGAAATAATACTCATTTGTTCGTATAAAGATGAATGCCCTAATTAAAACCATGTTAATAAACTTAACATTAATTAGTCAGATCAGCTATTTATTATCTGTTTAAGCTGTCATTGAATCCCTTTTAAAAAAAAAAAAAAAAAAAATCATTTTAAAACAATTCAGACTGATTATAATATATATATATAAAAATCAATTAGCTGATTATGCTGTAATGTGTCTTTGAGTGCGTTGAGACAGTAATTCAAAGAAAATGAAATATGAGAGAGAGAGAAAATATGAACACAGTGGCACTGCTGTCTGGTGCTTCACCAGCATTCTCTCGTCCTGTTGGAGAAACAGTGAAACGTCAAATCTCTACGGTGGCCGAGAAGTGCAAAACAAATCACAATTCTGAAAACAAAATAACAAATTACAAACGCAAAGTAAATAACAAAGCAATAGACAAAACATACCAGCAGACCCTTTCTCAAGCACAGGTTCTTCAGTATAAGCTGCAGTCAATGATTCAGTAGTTTTCTCCTGATGTCCTGAAAACCACATTAATAATATTTGAATTCTGAATAATATCTGAAAAAGCATTACGATGCATATCATAATTCAATTAATGATTTTAGATGGCATACCCCATTTGACGATAACTGGTTCTTTGAGGGTTCTGTGGGACACAAAACAATCATATTCTGCTTTTTCATCCTCGTTGATCTCCACACTCTTCCTCAGCTGGACGGATTCATCATGGTTTGGTCTGATTCCTGTGGATTCAACCTCATCTTCAGGCAGAGATGTGAGATCTTTCCTGATGGTCAAGAATATGTCTTTGGGGTAGAAGCCGGTGGCCAGACAGGTGAGTTTCAGCTTGGATTTGTCACTAATAGACCTTTTTGCAAACACATGAACATCTGGAGGAGCTGAAAACACAGGAATCTATCAGTCAGTTGCATCTGCAGCAGATCATCAAACAAATACAATTTGATCTACTCACTGCCGTTTCTGAGCTGCTCGTCTACATGTTCCTCACTATTGTAAGAGTCGATCTGTCTGTCATCTAGCAGACCCATAGCGCTGAATTCATAGATGCCCGGCTGATTGACAGGTTTGGACAAAGCCGTGTAAATGTAATACAACGAGTGTTTCTCTGCAGTAAAGAGCAATAAAGCAGTGAGTTTTTCTCGATTGCTAACACACTGTATCTGATTCAGTTGACCCCATTTCCCAAACCTATGCTCTAAACAAAGACATTTCACCTGTTTTCTCTTAAGTTCCAATTTTCTCAGTGTTTTCTGCAAAACTCCACAAAAAAATGCCTTCGTTTTGCACAGGTTTAACCGTGTTCTCATTCAGAAAATACTGACACAAACATTGCAAAACTCATGTCGTACAGGTCAGAATCTCCGGATAATATAAACAGGAGTACATGTGATTATGTGCTTTGTAAAATGAATTCTACTGGTGTGAGACGAATAGGAAGAGGGGTCAAAGGTCCTTTGTTCCTGATGAAATACACAGCACTACAGTTGATCATGTTCGTGTGGTTGGAATGAGCATGAGGGAAGTTGGCCTAAAGGCTCATCTACAGAGTTTTTACACTACTTAAACATACAGTAATAAAGCTTCAGATGAGAAAACCTTCATTATTCTATGTACAATAAATACTGTGGCACATGTTGTACTCCGTCAAACTCATAACTGTTGAATTAAATTGAGATGTTAAATCCGAACTAGGAGATATAAACGTCAAGAATTGTGAGATAAAATAGGTGAATGTTATGTAAAATGTTATAGGTTTAAATAGGCTATTTCATGCTGTAACTGTAGGGCTAATACAATATGTCCCCTATGAACTGCATATGTAAATATTATGTAGACCTATTGTTCAAATCAAATTTATGCTTTAAAAGTAGAGTACTCATAGCAGGTTTAATCCATAGTCTGTCCGTTTAAACATCTGCGTTTAGCTTCTTTGAGGACAGCATTCTATTCCAATTCTGACACCCAAAGGCACAACAATACTTTTTTTTCTTCTCTTAATCCATGGATTTTATCCGTTTCCCTCCATTAGTTACCAGTGTTTTTCTGCCACCACAATGCGCGCGCAGCTGCAGGTGACGTAACTGTGACGTCTACTCCAAATTGGCCAATAACCTCTTGGATATCATTACCCCGCTGTATGTTAGTAATCAGCACACCCACTAGCCAGTATCATATGGAAGATGGATGTATGGACGCATAGAATCAGTAAACAAACTATATATATTGTTTTAACCCAAGCACATGAACAGAGGCGGACAGTAACTAAGTACATTTACTTGAGTATTGTACTTAAGTACACTTTTCGAGTATCGGTACTTTACTTGAGCATTATTTTTTCTGGGAACTAAATAACTTTAACTTCACTACATTTGAAAGACAAATATTGTACTTTTCACTCCACTAGATTTCTATCAAGGTCCTCGAAGTAGAAAGTCGTTAGCAGCTTTGAAAGTCAGTGGGTGATTTTTTTTCTTCTCTAAAACTTGATTTCTTTTTTTCAGACAGTTTATCAGTAATCACTCTTGGGGCTACATCAAGTGATTTCCCAGCATTTTTTGAGCACTGACCAGCTGCAAATGTGATATTTATTTACAACAATTCAATAATAAGAAGTTAATATTGTGATATATATTAGACACAATATTGTCTATTTTTGCTAAATTGTATACGTGAAAATATTACCAAATACCGTAATTTCATTAACTGATACTGGAGTTGAGTACTTTGTCCGCCTCTGCACATGAACCATCATATGGAGGAATAAATAAGATTGAATTTGTCCATTAATAGGTAGCTAGATTTAGATTTCACGGGGTACTCAGATTTTACATTTCTTCAGCACTTTAACACATTTTATTTCTATTTTTTTAAAATAGGCTATGAATTTTAATTTTAGTCGGTCAGCAGTAAAACGAAAATTAATTTAATTTTTAAAATAGGCCGGAGTGGCTTTATGTGGAAGGCGCGCGCAGAAGGAAGACAGAACAAAACCACAACAATTTATTATTACTGTTTTCGTTTCATACTACACTTAATCCTGGCTAAATAGGCGTTTTTCAGCTATAATTGGATTTATCTGATGATTATAACGCGTTTTACTGATCTTATTTCTACATTTTATTAAATGCTGTAGGCTAGCTCATACACACAAAAACACCTGCGACGTTTTAATTGGAAGGTTAGTTTATAAGGTTAGCCTATAAACATAATTCTATTATATATTTAAAAATAATTCTAATATATATACATACTTTTATATACGATGTTAGCATGCATTTCTTCTCAAATTAAATTTATTCCGTTACAAAGACGTTTTAAATCTCGTTACTTTCACTTAAGTTCTCTGATAAATCCAGAAACTTTAAATGATTTACCTGCTTGAAGTAAAAGTGGAGTCCTATAAAGCAGAAAAACACAAAGCACAGCAAAGATCTTCGTCGCCACACTCGTCCCCATGACTGAAAGGCTTTAAGTGTAAATTTGACTAATTTTTATGTTGCTGAAAGCAAAAGCTCACAGCAAGCGAAAAGGTAGCCTACAGAAAATAGCGGTAGATGTTTTAACCAATAAGAAAACAGAACGATGACACATCATGCGTATCTGGGGAGAAATGGAGAGGCTTATCAACATACGGTGTTTTAGCCAGTCAGTCAATGATCAATGAATAAATAACACATCATATATTTTAACATTAAACAATTCTTTCACAAAGTTATAGTACGTTAGATGTCGGTTTTATAATGTTCTCAAAATGTTCACATAAAGTGTGTAGGCTATAATGATATGCATTAGTGCAAATAGCGTAATTCAAGATTATCAGACATTAAAGATATTATTGATAATCGTATAATCTATTATTTTTAAGTAACGTTAATATGACTGTATCTTTGTAATAATCTTTAAGCAAATGTAACGTTATATTGTTTGTGAAGCTGACCTGTCAGCGCGCAGTTGAGTTGCAAGTCTTTAAGCTTCATGTTTTAAACAAGTCATTAGTGCTCTTTGCCCAAATTAGTGTCTCAGTATTAATTACCATATCAAATTTATAGTAATTTATATCAGGAAGGCAGGTAGAATATGTTCGACATATCAGTTCAATTTCATGTTAGAAAGGTACCCTCAAGTTCAATAAGTGAAAAAAAAAACGATTTTGTAACAGAATCGCAAAGACAAAATAATTTCATAGAAATAACAGCTACAGACTTCGCATGTGTGCATGAGAATATATGCTTCTATGAGTTATATCTAAGGCACTGAGACATTATTTGGAAACTCAATGAAACAGATTTAAAAACATGTAAGCGGAAACAGAAATAAATGAAAGCGAGTGTCTAATGAAGAGGGAGAACAATTGAGTATATTTTATAGTTACATAATGCTTATTTGGTGAAAGAAACACTTCTTCTTCAAATTATATTTTAAAGGATCACTATTGCCGCTTGCCCACTTCAGACATTATGTGCATTTATTTATTTTTTCTAATTAGCTAAATAGTTTGCAAGGTTTAATCTTAAATCTAGATTAAATCAAGGTTTACAATTCTGTTGCACCAAACTTTAAACCTTATTTTTAAAAATAAGCAGGTTTACATTTTACCCATCATTTTGATCCTGGATTTAAGTTATATTTAAGATTAAGTTTAATCCTGTTGCAGCATAAATTTAAACTCAGATTTAAATCTCGATTATGGATTAACTTTAAATTTAATTGAGATTTAAATAAAATAAAATGCACATGCAATTAAAATATGTAACTGACCAAACAAAAACAGTGGAGGTCAGACAAAAACAGGTCTCAGAGGTGTTTATTACAAATAAAAATGAAAATGAAAGCGCTTGGAGCTGGCAGAGTGCGAGGGTCGTGGCGGGATGTGGATTCGTTATGGTGCACAGCGCTGTTACGAGCGAATATAGTGAAGTGACATGTGGCCAAATGGTGACCCATGCTTGGAATTAGTGCTCTGCATTTAACCCATCCAAAGTGCACACACACACAGCAGTGAACACACACACACCGTGAACACACACCCGGAGCAGTGGGCAGCCATTTTTTGCTGCGGCGCCCGGGGAGCAGTTGGGGGTTCGATTGAAGGTGGGAGAGAGCGCTGTACATTCACTCCCCCCACCTACAATCCCTGCCGGTACGAGACTCGAACCCCGCAACCTTTGGGTTACGAGTCCGACTCTCTAACCATTAGGCCACGACTTCCCCACTTAGTCGTTCCCCATATAGTCACTAAACGAATCGTGTCATTCGTTTTTTCTTATCACGGTTCTTTTGTCATAAGTTATGCCATTACTCCATTAATTTATACTGGCCTATATATTTCCAGGCTTATGAAATCCGAAAAGAAGGAAATGCAATATTAACATTGCTGTTTCGAATGCATGGCGGAGAAACGTTTCTTTTTTGTTTTTTTTAATTGATGCTTAAACAACAAAAATATAACAAAAGTGCCATGGCGGAGAAAAATTAATCTTAGACCCAGCTAACACAGTTACGTTGTGACGAATAACTGGACCGTACCATATTCGTCGCAGAGATTTACCAAATAACGTACCAGTGACGTAACCATAGACTGTAAAAAACATGGACGTAGTGTCCGTGATGTCACTCGTAGTTTTCTGAAGAGCATTTTTGAAGACTAAAGTGGGCGGAGCCAACCGCCGCCATCTTGGCAGCGCGTCACCACGCGTCACTCCCGGATAATCGAAAATGGGCAAAAACCATGCTGAAACCATGCCATAAACCATCTATAGTGACAGCAGTGCTGCCGTGCAAAGACAAAACACCATAACTTCGTTTTTGGTCGAAAATGAGTTATTGATCATTTTGGGACATTCATGACCTCCATTATCATGTGTATAAATGTCTTGGAGAAAAGCCCTGGAGAAACCAAGGCAGAACACAGTATAACATCAGTTACCGCTCTTGGACTTTGTTTTAGATCGCTCAAATTAATTTACGGTGCTCTGCATTTGTTTAGTCGTTCGTCAATATTACTGTGCCAGCTATACGGAGTTATACGGTATTCTGCCTTTAAAGTCATTTTTCTAAGTTTCACACTCTAGCGAGTCTTTTGCCTTTTGTGGAGCAGAGCGGCAATCCACCGGTCACTCAAGTGGCCATGCCTTTAATTATGCAGAATTTTAAGGCTTAATATAATTTAAACGGACGAGTTATAAAAAACATTCACCCCTTCACAGTTGTCATGAATGGCAAAATTAGCTATATAGACCAAAACCACTTTTTGTACCAGGCTGTAAACATGTTTTTTTCTGCTGTAAAGTTGGGCATTTTAACATGGGGAGTCTATGGGATTGACTCCCTTTTGCAGCCAGCCTCTAGCGGCCAGTCGATGAATTACAGTTTTAGTCACTTCCTTGTTGGTTTCACAAGAGAGAGACAGAGAGGTTGCCGCTTGGACGTAACTTTGTGGTTCCCATATTCGTCCTGGCGACGTTATAGTGGTACGTTCCTGGAACGTGGCGAGTACGTCCTTACGACCAAACTGGCACGTTCCCTTTATTTTAATATTTACTTCTTAAAGCCCGGGCCCTGAAGATATGCTCGGACCATTACCTTGAAATCCATACAGAACTGATAAACTCATAAACATTCTCTGCTGTAAAAAATAAACACTAAATACGAATGGTTTTAATTGTTATAGGGGTTTTTAGTGATATGTAGCTGCAATGCAAACCAATACAAAAACATATTCAATTCTAATAGAAAATGGACAAAAACACACTGCATTCATTTATTAATCTGCATTTATTCAGTGTTAGTTTCTACAAATAGCTACTAAGCCAATACATTTTGAACATTACCTATTCCTTTACCATGTAAAGTGTTACCAAGTCATGAGCACAGAAAATTGAACACATCAATACAGATTACACAATGATTAAAATGTTTTATTATTACTGAAAAAGTTTAAGTGTCTCGTTAAGGATGGGTAGGCTATAGTTAAATAATGATTTCATCTGTGAAAATGATCAATAATTATCAGTACTCTATTGATACAGCTCATTATTTACTTTTTATTTAACTTTTTTATTCCATCATTACTTTTTTCAGAAATAAGTGAAATTGATTCCTGTATATGAGGCACCTGCTACAAATGTCTGGTGGTGATGTGCTTTAATACTGCTTCACTATCAGAAGAGAAACCTAAACAATATTACAATTACCAAAGAACTACAGTTCTTGAGCTTCTCAGAAAATAACAGAAATAAAGAAAATAACATTCATAAATAAAGAGATGAAAAAAGAACAATGTGGAAATTTACAACATCTCTCCTGTATTATTTGCCCCCCCCCCCAAGAAAATGAGCATGTTGACTTTTCATTTTCCGTCGGTCTTAGTACACGATGTAACTACAGAAGAGTCAAGTTTTAAATAGGAAAAATATAGAAACTCTTTGGTCATTTTTGAGCGAGATGCTAACGGTCTAATCAGATTCAATGATCTATGCTAAGCTAAGCTAAAAGTGCTACCGCCAGACCCGGAGATCGACTGAATGGATTCCAAAACGGTAAAACTCAACTGTTTAACTCTAGGGGAGCTGGAAAATGAGCCTATTTTCAAAAATAGTGGAGTGTTCCTTTAACTGATTTGCAGAGTCTAATTTTCCTGCAGGTGGATAGAGGCGTCCAGTGTAAACAGGGCTGTTCTTCAGCACCCTGGCATTGTGCACAGACCTGGGATACCCAACAAAGATATTGAGGACCTTCCCCTGGCGGTCAGTGACGGCCTGCAGCTGAACAGAATGGAACAGCTTCCCGTCGAAATAGTGTTGGGCGTCGCTGGTGGTTCAGTTCGGATGTGACAGACATCTGTTGTTCCAGCTAGCACATGGACAGCTGGAGACCCACCTAGCTGTGCAAAACCTGCTCCCACTGCCTCCAGGTCATCAGCGGTGGGGAAAGCAATCAGCCTCCTCTAAATCCTGATGACTGCCCTGCTCATTCTGTGTACAATATCATGCACAGAGGACTTGGGATGTCGAAGGCATGCTGCTCAGAGTCTTTGATACGTATATAGTTTAAAAAAAAAAAATTTATACAATGAGCAGCTGTATTTTTATTAACTAATACTAACAAAGCTTAATAAATACTGTAACAAATGTATTGCTCATAATTAATGTTAGTTAATACATCAATGTTAACAAATAAAACCTTATTGTAAAGTGTTACCCTAAAAACAATGTTTTGCCTGATAGAGAAAAATATATCGTTGACAAAACCACCAAGTTATAAAATTAAAAACATTGTCAGAAGAGTTTAGTAACCTTCTGTTAAGTGACATTAACCAATTTAGCAAATCACACCTGGTGAGCTCAAACTCCGCTCTGTATGTCTTCCTCACATCTGGACTGACAGACTTCCAGTCAATGATACCTACACAAGAAAAAAAAAATCTCTGAATTAATGCAATAAACGTTCTAAATATTTTTAAAAACCTTGTTCAGTTAATAAAAGTGCTAAATATGCGTACTGTCCAGCCAGGCAAAGTGAGCTCTTCCTCGAAGTTATTTACAAAACTCTTCAGGGCTGCGTTTCTCAAAAGCATCGTAAGCCAGTTGATGACATGGTTCTACAATCAATTTAGGCTTAAAATGCTTTTGGGAAACGCAGCCCTGAACGTTAAGTAAAGAGATTTAAATGCAGGGAAAATAAATCAAATACATAACAACGAATATAAAAATATTACCAATAATAATAATAAAATACATGGACTTACAAAACTTGTGGGATGGATAAAAATGTTTTCTTGTAGGCCTATTTTATTTTGTGTACTTTATGCAACATTTATTCATAATAAACTTATCCTGCACTGCTTCATGTGTGTGTCCATCACACGCTACTGATAGAGGTAACACACACTCATAAACACAACACATATTCTCACACACACACACACACTCTCTCACTCACACACACACTCACACCTGCGCAAACACATTACTGAAGCTGAGATTCATGACCTGATGAGTGTGTGTGTGTGTGTGTTTCAGCGGTGTCTCTGCTGCTGGGAAACGTCAGGCTGCTGGAGGAGGTTTTATCTGCCTCTTCATCCTCATCTTCATCACTGCAGAGCTACTGTCTGCTCCTGCTGTCCTCCCTCACGCTCCTGCAGCACACACACTCCGATCATGTACCAAACACTCCTCCTGCAAAGCTGAGATCAGTGTCGTCTCACTTATAAACACCTGACCACACCTGTGTGTGTGTGCTGAACGTTCACAGGAGCGTGGAGTGTGGATCTGCATCAGATAATCAGATGACAGACACAGACACAAACACACACACACACACACACATATGGACACACTGCTCATCGGTAACACAAACACACACACACACACACACACATATGGACACACTGCTCATCGGTAACACACACACACACACACACACACACACACACACATAAATACACACTGCTCATCGGTAACACACACACACACACACAATAATACACTTCTGATGAGTTTGACTTCTATTCCTGCTGAAGACGTTTGTTATTGTTACTGAAATATTTTTATATGCCTATTTATTTACATTAATAATAATTAGTTAATTATTTAATATTTAACGGAATTGTTATTATTTTCATTTGTTTAGTAACAAAAAAGGTTATTGTTTAATAATTATTGCTGTTAATAATTAGTTACTCGGTCATTTGTGTAATGAAATGGTTATTGGTTAATATTCATTGTTACTTTTAATAATAATTAGTTCGAATTTTTGTAATTTGCATGGTGACAAATGGATATTTATTAATATTCATTATTGCTATTTAAAGTTATTCATTTTATGAAGTGCTCACAAAAATGGTTATTGAATAAAAATAACTTTACTATAAATAATTATTAGTTAGTTACTCATTTTACAATTTGAGTAGAAGAGACAAATATGGTTATTGATTAATATTCATTTGCCCTATCAATTACAATTACTCAGTTTGTGTTGTAACAAAAATGGTTGATTAATATTCATTTTTAACAATAATTTGTTTAAATACAAGTAATTTGCTAGCCACAATTTTATTTTGTACTATTAATTATAATGAGTTAATTTATAATTTCAGACAAAATGGTTCTTTATTTAAGTTTTTTTTTTTTACTATAAATGATCATTTGTTGCTCACTTTATGATCGCAATAGTGACAAATGTTTGATTATTATTCATTTGTATTATCAGTTAATTATAATTACTAATGTTTCGTGTGTGGTAAGAAAAATGGTTATTGGTTGATATCCCTTATTATTAGTTATGCTTACATTTTTATATTTTATCTGTAATATCAAAAAACGCTACTGATTAATTCGTAATTAAATTATTTATTAATGTATCTGTTGCTTTTTGTGTCGTGTGTCGGTAAATATCAGTATTGATCCGTTTTCATCTGTCAAGTCTATAGAATTAAAACCCTTCGAATAATTCTATTGATGACGGACGCCTGTGACGTCAGCCCGCGTGCGTCGCTTAAGCGCTCCGTGCGGAAACCGGCGGCGCACTCTTGCACTCGCGCGGCATGTGAATGATCCGATCGCACGCGCCGCTCGCATCGCCAAACGAGAGCTCGAATCCGACGGCTGATCGACGCGTTTTTAACCGATGATCGCGCGCGCTTGACGCTGAAGGTGAGTGAGCGAGTGCAGCGGCGATCCGCATCAAACACCGCTCGCGATTATTTGTTATTCGGTGTTAAATATTAACATCTGGCCTCGGTCAGTCAGCCGAAGGGTCAGCTATAGAGAAATACTGCTGTGTGATGATGGCAGAATCATATACCATAGTAATACCATGGTATCTGACAGCGCTGTTTGAATACCAGAGTGAATTAATCTGATAATGATTCTATTACCATGTGATAATTCTGTTCCCATCTGTCACCGAATCACGGTGCTTGAACCGCTTTTTGTGAATTATTATCTCTGTTAGATTTGTTTGTGGGTAGTTGACTGGAGCTGTGAACTGTCAGGACTAACCAGTTAAACTGGTTAACCCATGCAGGCATGAGGACGTGATGTAGGGTTGTTTGATTTCAAAGGATTTAACCTCAAATCAGACACGACTAGAGTTTGGAGGAAACGATCTTTAAATGGCTTCCAGTCCTGTTCAGACCAGACCAGAACCTCATATCTGTGAGTCCTGCAGTGACAGTTCGGGGTTGGTCTGGTCTGGTGTGAGATGGTTTTTGTCTCTATATCATGATGTTAAAGTCTGTCAGTGACGGGTCGGTCTGGTCTGAGATGGTTTTCGTCTATATCATTATGTTAACGTCTGTCAGTGACGGGTCGGTCTGGTCTGAGATGGTTTTCGTCTATATCATTATGTTAACGTCTGTCAGTGACGGGTCGGTCTGGTCTGAGATGGTTTTCGTCTATATCATTATGTTAACGTCTGTCAGTGACGGGTCGGTCTGGTCTGAGATGGTTTTCGTCTATATCATTATGTTAACGTCTGTCAGTGACGGGTCGGTCTGGTCTGAGATGGTTTTCGTCTATATCATTATGTTAACGTCTGTCAGTGACGGGTCGGTCTGGTCTGAGATGGTTTTCGTCTATATCATTATGTTAACGTCTGTCAGTGACGGGTCGGTCTGGTCTGAGATGGTTTTCGTCTATATCATTATGTTAACGTCTGTCAGTGACGGGTCGGTCTGGTCTGAGATGGTTTTCGTCTATATCATTATGTTAACGTCTGTCAGTGACGGGTCGGTCTGGTCTGAGATGGTTTTCGTCTATATCATTATGTTAACGTCTGTCAGTGACGGGTCGGTCTGGTCTGAGATGGTTTTCGTCTATATCATTATGTTAACGTCTGTCAGTGACGGGTCGGTCTGGTCTGAGATGGTTTTCGTCTATATCATTATGTTAACGTCTGTCAGTGACGGGTCGGTCTGGTCTGAGATGGTTTTCGTCTATATCATTATGTTAACGTCTGTCAGTGACGGGTCGGTCTGGTCTGAGATGGTTTTCGTCTATATCATTATGTTAACGTCTGTCAGTGACGGGTCGGTCTGGTCTGAGATGGTTTTCGTCTATATCATTATGTTAACGTCTGTCAGTGACGGGTCGGTCTGGTCTGAGATGGTTTTCGTCTATATCATTATGTTAACGTCTGTCAGTGACGGGTCGGTCTGGTCTGAGATGGTTTTCGTCTATATCATTATGTTAACGTCTGTCAGTGACGGGTCGGTCTGGTCTGAGATGGTTTTCGTCTATATCATTATGTTAACGTCTGTCAGTGACGGGTCGGTCTGGTCTGAGATGGTTTTCGTCTATATCATTATGTTAACGTCTGTCAGTGACGGGTCGGTCTGGTCTGAGATGGTTTTCGTCTATATCATTATGTTAACGTCTGTCAGTGACGGGTCGGTCTGGTCTGAGATGGTTTTCGTCTATATCATTATGTTAACGTCTGTCAGTGACGGGTCGGTCTGGTCTGAGATGGTTTTCGTCTATATCATTATGTTAACGTCTGTCAGTGACGGGTCGGTCTGGTCTGAGATGGTTTTCGTCTATATCATTATGTTAACGTCTGTCAGTGACGGGTCGGTCTGGTCTGAGATGGTTTTCGTCTATATCATTATGTTAACGTCTGTCAGTGACGGGTCGGTCTGGTCTGAGATGGTTTTCGTCTATATCATTATGTTAACGTCTGTCAGTGACGGGTCGGTCTGGTCTGAGATGGTTTTCGTCTATATCATTATGTTAACGTCTGTCAGTGACGGGTCGGTCTGGTCTGAGATGGTTTTCGTCTATATCATTATGTTAACGTCTGTCAGTGACGGGTCGGTCTGGTCTGAGATGGTTTTCGTCTATATCATTATGTTAACGTCTGTCAGTGACGGGTCGGTCTGGTCTGAGATGGTTTTCGTCTATATCATTATGTTAACGTCTGTCAGTGACGGGTCGGTCTGGTCTGAGATGGTTTTCGTCTATATCATTATGTTAACGTCTGTCAGTGACGGGTCGGTCTGGTCTGAGATGGTTTTCGTCTATATCATTATGTTAACGTCTGTCAGTGACGGGTCGGTCTGGTCTGAGATGGTTTTCGTCTATATCATTATGTTAACGTCTGTCAGTGACGGGTCGGTCTGGTCTGAGATGGTTTTCGTCTATATCATTATGTTAACGTCTGTCAGTGACGGGTCGGTCTGGTCTGAGATGGTTTTCGTCTATATCATTATGTTAACGTCTGTCAGTGACGGGTCGGTCTGGTCTGAGATGGTTTTCGTCTATATCATTATGTTAACGTCTGTCAGTGACGGGTCGGTCTGGTCTGAGATGGTTTTCGTCTATATCATTATGTTAACGTCTGTCAGTGACGGGTCGGTCTGGTCTGAGATGGTTTTCGTCTATATCATTATGTTAACGTCTGTCAGTGACGGGTCGGTCTGGTCTGAGATGGTTTTCGTCTATATCATTATGTTAACGTCTGTCAGTGACGGGTCGGTCTGGTCTGAGATGGTTTTCGTCTATATCATTATGTTAACGTCTGTCAGTGACGGGTCGGTCTGGTCTGAGATGGTTTTCGTCTATATCATTATGTTAACGTCTGTCAGTGACGGGTCGGTCTGGTCTGAGATGGTTTTCGTCTATATCATTATGTTAACGTCTGTCAGTGACGGGTCGGTCTGGTCTGAGATGGTTTTCGTCTATATCATTATGTTAACGTCTGTCAGTGACGGGTCGGTCTGGTCTGAGATGGTTTTCGTCTATATCATTATGTTAACGTCTGTCAGTGACGGGTCGGTCTGGTCTGAGATGGTTTTCGTCTATATCATTATGTTAACGTCTGTCAGTGACGGGTCGGTCTGGTCTGAGATGGTTTTCGTCTATATCATTATGTTAACGTCTGTCAGTGACGGGTCGGTCTGGTCTGAGATGGTTTTCGTCTATATCATTATGTTAACGTCTGTCAGTGACGGGTCGGTCTGGTCTGAGATGGTTTTCGTCTATATCATTATGTTAACGTCTGTCAGTGACGGGTCGGTCTGGTCTGAGATGGTTTTCGTCTATATCATTATGTTAACGTCTGTCAGTGACGGGTCGGTCTGGTCTGAGATGGTTTTCGTCTATATCATTATGTTAACGTCTGTCAGTGACGGGTCGGTCTGGTCTGAGATGGTTTTCGTCTATATCATTATGTTAACGTCTGTCAGTGACGGGTCGGTCTGGTCTGAGATGGTTTTCGTCTATATCATTATGTTAACGTCTGTCAGTGACGGGTCGGTCTGGTCTGAGATGGTTTTCGTCTATATCATTATGTTAACGTCTGTCAGTGACGGGTCGGTCTGGTCTGAGATGGTTTTCGTCTATATCATTATGTTAACGTCTGTCAGTGACGGGTCGGTCTGGTCTGAGATGGTTTTCGTCTATATCATTATGTTAACGTCTGTCAGTGACGGGTCGGTCTGGTCTGAGATGGTTTTCGTCTATATCATTATGTTAACGTCTGTCAGTGACGGGTCGGTCTGGTCTGAGATGGTTTTCGTCTATATCATTATGTTAACGTCTGTCAGTGACGGGTCGGTCTGGTCTGAGATGGTTTTCGTCTATATCATTATGTTAACGTCTGTCAGTGACGGGTCGGTCTGGTCTGAGATGGTTTTCGTCTATATCATTATGTTAACGTCTGTCAGTGACTGGTCAGTCTGGTCTGGTCTGAGATGGTTTTTGTCTCTGTAATGTGATGTTAAAGTCTGTCAGTGATGGGTCAGGGTCGGTCTGGTCTGGTCTGAGATGGTTTTCGTTTCTATATCATGATGTTAATGTCTGTCAGTGGTGGTTTATGGTCGGTTTGGTCTGGTTTGATATCTGAGTCTCAGGACAGGAAGTAGAACATCCCTCTGAAGCGGTCTGGCTCTGAGCAAAGGCATGAAATATTAATCATAAATCTGTCAGATCCCTCTGGGTTTATGATGTCTGTTAGTGAAGCTGGAGCATCACATCCAAACCACACACTCACTGACTTTATCTATTATTTACAACGTCATATGATTTTTGTTTTAATCTTCAGTGAAATATATTTTAAAGGGATGGGTTCTCCAGAAATATGTCATTCATCTTGTCGTTTCAAACTTGTGTGACACAAAAGAAGATATTTTGAAGAACATTAGGGCCAAACAACTTTGGACCCCATTGACTTCCACTGCTTGGACATTCCTCTAAATATCTTCTTTTGTGATTCACAGAAACTCATACAAGCTTGAGCGACATGATGGAGAGTAAATGATGACAGAATGGTATTTTCTGATTGAATGAGACTTTTGTTCCTTGATGTTGTAAATCTGAACTGAGGCTGTTGTATTCTGTCTGAAGTGACGTTTATCAGCTGAATTCTTAATTAATCTGTCACTGATTTTATGCTGAATTATTAATTCTGTTCCTGTTTATGTGTATCACGCTTTTTATAACGCATATTGTTTCAAAACAGCTAATATTTTTGTGCTCAAGCAAATTTCATAATAATCAAACAGCTTACAAATGAGGAATATAACAAGCCATTAGGATTTGAACAGTCACATTTAATTTATGCTTGTTTCGTTTAATTTTCCTCTTTTACATGATATTGTATATTTGTGTAACAGACAGTGCTTTGGTTCACTCTGTGGTTCGTGATCGAGTGTTGACTGGAGTTTGTCTCCCTCTAGTGGTCATGTTGAGGGTTTGCGCTCTGCTGCTGCTGGCGGCTCTCGGCTCCTACTCGGACACACAGAGACCCCGACACGACTCCAACCTGGAGATCTGTATCCTCCTCAGACACGAGTGTGTGTGTGTGTGTGAGAGTGTGTCGTTCTCCTGAACGTCTCCTCAGATAAGCATCTGTTCGAGACCAAGAGGAAGGATCAGCTGAACGCGCTGAAGAACCTGGTGGAGCTCAGCGACGTCAACCAGCAGTACAAGATCATCGACATCATGCTGAAGGGCCTCTTCAAGGTGTGTGTGTGTGTGTGTGTGTGTGTGTGTGTGTGTGTGAAACAT